TGTGACGCCCACACCAGCCAAAGCCGCCCGCCAGCTCAGGGACGGGCTGCAGCCCCCAGGCCGTGGCCAGCACCGGGGACTGGGTAGACATGTCCCGATGGTACCCAGGCTGATGAGACTCCTGGGTGGGTGGAGGACTCATCAGAAAACATGACTGAAAACAAGCCAGGATTGTTGTGCGTCTGTGTCTTCCCCTCTAACAGTAGTAGCAGCTCATGGGTGACAGGGTCTGACGGCAGAGGCCGGGGCTGAGCCCACAGCGCCGACCCTGTCCTGCCTGTGCTCGACAGCCCTGCGCACGTGTCTGCGTGTGACCTTCCTTAGACCCTTCCCTGACGTCCACCGTGAAAGACAGAGCCTACGGCCACGCTGTCAGTGTAAAACCCTCCTGGCTGCTTGGCAGAGTGAGAAAGAGGACCTAGGACAGACACCCTGCCAGGCCCCCACGTAGTCCCACTGATGTAAAGTGCACATGTGGGGCTTCTGCAGTGGAGGAAGAGAGACCAGCAACGGTCCCTCCCCAGAAGACAAGGGCAGCGAGGAGAGGGCATGGCAGGGTGTCCCGGGGCCACTCCTGACCCCATGACCTCTGCAGTCCACAGAGGGGCTTGAAGATGTGCCCTGAACACGCTCATCACACCACGAGGCAGCTTGCAGGCTGCCTGGCCTGCAAGCCTCTTTGAGACTGGGTGTCTGTGGGGATGGGAGGGGGCAGGCAGTGGCCATGGGGTGACGAAGGACCCATCCTGCAGAGCTGGGGCACGGCCGAGGCAAGGGCTCCCAGGCCAACACCTGGGCATCTCTTCCCACGGCCACTTCTGGTTCACGCCTGTCCTGTGGTTCATGCAAGACCTCAGGCTCCCATCTCACCCCAAAAGCTCAGTGTAAAAGAGCATTGTTGGGTTCTGATCCTTCCTAATTCTTTACTCCAAATCCCCGAAGCAGTCACCTCCACCTGGCGGGCGTGGGAGGGAGTCAAGGGCAAGGAAGGACCTGCTGCCTGGCTGGAGCACAGCAGGACGCGGTCATACAGGGCTGTGACCCTAGTCTGTGTTCAGGCTGCCAGGCTGCCAGCAGCTCAGTTAACTCCGAAGGCCCAGTGTGCAGGGGCTGAGGATCTCAGCCCTGTGCTAGCCGGTGACAGCTGCCTACAGCCATCAGTCTGCCCTGTCACAGATGCTGGGAGCTGTGGGGTTGGTTTGTTTTCCCTAGAGAAAGAAATTTAATCTAAAAGAGACCCAAAGCAATATTTGTCAAAATAAGGAACCCATCCAGGTTTACAGATACCAACAGCACGCAAAGCGGATTCCAACACACAGCAGTGACTCCCAAGCTGAAGCCACACACAGCTGCGGGCCGAGGCTGGTGGTCTGGGGTAAGCCCCTGAGCTGGCTGCACGGCACCTGCTGGATAATCAGGCTCCAGGGGACAAAAGAGGCCACTTTCTCCCCCTGAGGGAACCACAGCTTCGTGGGCAATTCACAGGAGGACGACAGCCTACAGAAACCATAGGGAACTAACCGAGTGTCCCACCATAGAAAAGTTCATATGCAAATACAGCAAGGACATCAGGTGGCAGCGGCCCGGGCTAGGAAGACGGTCGGGGAGGGAGGACCAGAGGAAGGAGATAACTACGGAAACCTGCAGAACAACACGAGTCGGTTTTGTGGAAGCCACACGTGATGTCGATGGGATCAAACATGGAGATTCAGAAAGATGTCCCCTGCTGCCAGGGCACCTGCAGCGTCCCCTCCCTGTCCTCCAGCACGTCCACGTGGCCCGCGTCGGTCACGGCTGGGGTGCTCCTCAGCTGCAGAGCGAGTGGGGGGCAGAGGCTGGCAGTGGGGGCGGGCTGTTCTCTGTGGCCGCCGGTGCCAGTCTGCACGGTCCCCCGGGCCTTGCTGAAGTTCTCTGACTTTCGGACCATGATGGAACACTGAGGTATATAGTTTCGCGGAAAGTTTGAGAAACCTAATCGAGAACGTGATCACCGAGCTCAGCCTGACGGTGCGGGCGACAGGCGGCGGGGCCACGGGCTCCTACGGCTGCAGGTTCAGCGAGAACTTCCACTGCTGGGACAGGGCCGGGCCACACGCCTCCACGCTCAGGCCACCGCTCTTGGCCGTGCGGCTGTCCAGGCACAGGTTGCTGCCCACGTGCCGCAGCTTGGAGTTGCCCTCAATTTGCTCCCATTTCTGCAAAAGACAGGAGACACCGCACAGAGTGAGCATGCATGGGACAGCAGGGGACACGGCCACCTTCGGGGTCTTCCGGTGGCATTAAAAACAGACAGACAGACTTCTGTCTGATCCTGAAGGCTGGGAGTCAGCATGGCCCCACGCAAAGCAGCCGCAGGGCTGAAGAGGGACCGGGAAGGACAGGGCGCTCTCTGCCTCGGTTCCAAACTCAGACCTCCCCTCCGCCCCATCCTTGGGTGTCCCCTCGTCCAGCGCCCTGAGCACCCGCCCCTGTCAGTAGCACAGGGACCTGGTGAGGAGGAAGCGCGTTCATTCACAAGCAGGCCTGATCCAGCCACGTCTCACCCCAGGAAAGGAGCCTCAGGAGCCCGAGCTGGAGGCCAGCCCTGCCCGAGGCCTCAGGCCAGGCACCTCCACACTCCCACTGAGGGCCTGACGCGGGCTGAGCCAGCGCAGAGGGAACGAGAGGCTGTGTGAGCCCGTGTCATGCTGAGGACGCCGTGCTCTGCGAGCCTGTGAACCCCCTCTGTGCTCTGTGAGGCGGGGGCCAGGCGGTGTCTGCCGAGTTCTGGACGTGCCACGCATGAAGCACGCAGCATCATGTCCCCTGCTTGTGCTCACACGCTGAAGCCAAACCAACAGCCAGACTCGTCCACGCCACCCACCAACTGAGCCAGAAAACAAAGCCCACAACTCAGCCCCAGCAAACCTGAGGGGCCCTGGCCTTGCTGTTCAGCAAGTAACAAATACCCGCATTTAAAAACCTCTAATGTTTGTTCTTAAAAACAAAACAAAAAACACGCTTTTTCCTCCCCAAAGCTCTCTCGTGGTCCTGATTTTTACACCACGTGCGCTGAAGCTCCCTCACGCGAGCATGTCTGCAGATCCTTTCCACACTGGGGAATCACATTTCCCCTTGACTCTGCAAATGCACACGTGTCACCAACACATGACGTGCCCAGAAACCAAACATCCCAGTGGGCAAGACGGCGCAGCTCCAGGTAACATCCGCTGTGGAGCCTCCTCGACGGGCAAATGAGCGAGGCAGGGGGTCAGGGCGGGCGACAGAGCCCGTGTCAGCCCTGGAGGACGTGCACAGCTGACCTGGCCACCTACCCCCGGCGCTCTGCCAACAGTGACAGTCAACAGTCAGAGACCCTCTCTGTTCATTTCCGTGCCTCCCTGGTCGCCCCCCGTGCACTGTTCCTGACTGTCATGTAAAGCATGTGCTCAGGCAGCCCTGTCACTCAGAGCGCCAGGAGTCTCTCCATAAAGACGGTGAAATGAGCTTGATTCTGGCCCCCGGAGGCCTCTGCCTGTCAAGTGTCAAAGCACCACCTGCAGGCAGGACGTGAGACACGAACAGAGCCCAGCTCTGCCGCTGGAAGGTGGGACAGGGCAGGCTTCTGCGTCGCCGGACTCCCCTGAAACAGCCCCCACGCCCTCCTAACAGGCGAGTCGGGGTCTTCCACATCTGTCCGCCTCGCATCCAGAATCGCTGCTGTTTGCAGGCCTTTTCACGTCACGCAGAGGCGACACGGGCTGTCAGTCTGGCTCCCAAGAGCTGGGATTGTGCTGGAACACCTGCCAGCCCTGGACATGAAGCGGGGTGACGGCAATGATCTGCTTTTGAATCGGGTCTCGAGAACGGCGGGTGCCAGCACCACCTCACCCGTCCACTCCGGAGGACACATGCCCGTGACACCCGGGAGAGTGTGCATGAGTGTCGTCGAGCTGGGTGTGCACCCCGCTGGGGGTCTCTCTTACTCACCAGGTGTTAAATGAGCCATAAAACTGCACTATCCACACGAACGGACACGTACAGACGCCGACAACAGGGGACCCCCTATGTGGCGCCAGGCGGGGTGTGCCAAGTGGATGGGGGGACACCCTGACACGGTGTGGGGCTGAGACGGACGGACGAGAGCGTGCCCTCCACAAGCACTCCCCTGACAACCGGGGTCCGAGCAGGTGATGCTGGGGGGACACTGCCTCGCTGGGCCTCAGTTTCCCCCTCTATGAGATGCATGTTGGACTAGGAGCCTGCGTAGGCTCTTGGCTCCAGCAGGCTCTGTGCCTCAGTTTCCCTACACTCCATCTATCTCCTAAGGAGGGACCGTGAGAAGGTGAGCCAGCACTCCAAGTACGGGCACACGGGAAGGTCCTTCTGTGCCTGCACTTCTATCCCTGACACCGACAGTCACCCCACGGCTCAAGAAAGGGGGGCCTCCAAGTTTCCGCGAGGAACTGTCAGCGAAAAGCAGCGGACGAGGAAACGCACACGCTCTGAGCTGTCAGGAAAAGGGACATGTGTGGTTGTGTCTACTGCACGTGTGCGTAAAGCCTCATCCACGCGAACTCGGGTCACTGGAATTTCTGCAGATTTAGAGGAAAACGGCTCACGAGTGAACAAAAACACGCCACTTCTCCTTAGAGTGTTCGGTGGTGTGCGGAGGAGGACGACACATCAGAGACCGGCGGTGCCAGCGGCTTGGGGACCGTACCTGTCTGCTGTCGTTCTCCCGGCAGCCCTGCAGCCTCACGAGCGAGCCAGGCGCGCGGTCCACCACGGTGAGACACAGGTCCATGTGCTTCACCGCCTTCTCCTTGGTCAGGGCCCACTCCTGGAACACAAAACCGGAGTCAGCGGCAGCCATGCACGGCTGTGACAGGAACGCAGACGGGTCACGTGCGGGCTGAGAGGTGACCCCTGAGCCAACTCAGACCAAGTTGCTTTTTGCCTGTAATTAAACGCGAACTGTGAAGACAGCAGCTCCGGCTGGGCCACCCACGAGGCGGAGCGGCAGGAGTCCGCGTTGACACGCACATACGCACGGCACAGCGAAACGCGACAAAGTGCCAGCGTGTGCCATGCTCTGCTCCAGGCCCTTGAGACCGCAGCCCCACGAGGGACTGTTATTCTCATTATAGATGAGAAACCGGGGCCAGACTGTGTTTAAATAACTTGCCTGTGATTTTTTTTTTTTTTTATAAAGATGACCGGTAAGGGGATCTTCACCCTTGACCTTGACTTGGTGTTGTCAGCACCACGCTCTCCCAAGTGAGCTAACCGGCCATCCCTATATGGGATCCGAACCCATGGCCTTGGTGTTATCAGCACCGCACTCTCCCGAGTGAGCCACGGCCCGGCCCTTGCCTATGATTTTTAAATATACAAACCACACACGCACACATTAATGGCTATGCCTTGGGTTGAGTGTCTCCCTAAACTCAGTCCCCCATGACAGTATAAAGAGGGCAGGAAATCCTATTATGGTAATTGAAAGGTGGGGCCTT